GTAGAAAATATTAACAAACAACTAAAATATATAAAATAACATTCCATTACACGAGAAATTCGAGTTCAAAACTGTTCAGTTGGATTTTCTTAAAACTGAAGTTTCAAATGGAAAAAAATCTTTATGCCATATTTTCAATTAATTCCTTTTTCATATGGAACCATCTATTTTCTTCATTTTACTGTTACTTATATGGGGTTGATGCAAAAATTTTGATGTTTTTCATATGTAGTTAACAAGAAAATGATTTTTTCTTAGAAACAAATAACATCTGTTTTCAAACCATTATAACTGTACTTAGTTTTGGTTTGTTCAGTGAATGATCGAGTTACTAGGCTAAATCTAAGAGCTAAAAACGTTAAAACCTTTCCTCGACTTAATATAATATTTTGTAAAATGCGAAACAAATATTGGCGGCAACAGACGTTACCTCATAAAATGGAGAATCCGTTCTTCGACGAAAATATGGCGACTCCGCGAGTAGCGACGTCGGCTATCTTACATTTCCTAACGATTCAACATTTATTTTCGATATGTAACGCGTGCACGCGATGTCGGAAGAAGAGATCGAGGCAGCGAGATTCATAAAATATGTACGGCATCTGGAAGGTATCGGTAGAGATGAAATTTTACAGATACCGAGAGCTAAGCACCTCTCTCGGGGCAGATAAGGACGAAAGGTTGGTCAGACACGAAAAAAAGGAGTCCCCAAGGTTTCCACCAAGAATCTTGGAGATCCGGATTCGAGCGGGGAATTTGATTCATGGAGTTTTGAAAAGCGAGCTTAATAATCCATAAGAAATCAATCGTAAACTGATGAAACCAAGTGTTTTCTTAGATAAACCTTATTTTATTGTTATAATCGGATGATTATTTAACAAATTACATCAAGAGAAATCAATATTTTTAAACAGGTCATTTTCATTTTAACCAATTCAGGGAGTCACGAAAGCAACATTAAACAAAAAAAACGAATGTTATCGATTATAAAAACAAACAATGAATGTTTTGAAGTTTGACGCGCGTTTTGAATATTTCTAACGCGAATGTAATAAATAAAACATAAAAATATTGGGAAATGAAGTGGCCGAAAATTTGTAACGATTAGTAGACGAGAGTTTACAGAATCTATTAATAATTAAATATACTTTAATGAATAAAATTTGTATCTATTTATTTAACAAATATTTTTCCCCGTCCAACCGATACTTTGAATGAATAATCAACTTCGCTTATGAAAAGAGTTATTTCGAAAATAAGTTTACAACCTACAACGATATTCAAAATAAACAGTACAAAAGTAATTCGAAATACGAGAAACGTTTGGGGAACAAATTTTGCAGCATGTTCCATGCATAATAAAGTAAACTTCATTGTTCGTTTTAATCGTCACTGCAACTCTATTGTTTTATTTCTAACGATACGCATATTTTGAACAGAACACACTCGAAGGAACGTTTCGTTAAGTTCAATATTTGAGGATTTGTTGCGCGAAGAATTTCTGCGACGAGAAAAAAGAACAGTATCGTTGTTTGTAGCAGTCTGCTAGTACGTTTCTACGCACGCACGCAGGCACGCGGAATTGTATAACCAAGTTAAATGGAAACGGGTCGAGCGGTAGCTTAATAGTAAACAAATATGAGCTTTCGAACTTCGAATGTACGTTTCAATTATGAGATTTACGCAAAGGCACAGCGACTCTGATTATCGGGTGTATAAAAGGCGATTGCGTCCTGCTGTATTTTTACGCTGCGCGCAGCAAATTAGCTTTAGCTCGTTTAAATAAATTGCTAATTAATATTAATTCCTTTGTTTATGTAATTTCTAAGTCCAAACGTTTTTTTAAACCAACAGAAATTAATTAAATATTAATAGGAATTAATAGAAAATTATTATTCTCGTAAAGTTTCGATATAATTCAAGTGGTACGAAAATTGTGGGGGAATTTCATTATAAAAGAGTCGTTAAGATTTTTCTTGAAATGAAAGATAGTTGGAAAATGAAATCCAAAAAGTCCTGATATGGTCACCCATTGGCAATGAGTACAATCAGTTACGTTTTTATTTGTTTTACCCAGTGAGTGTATTCAAAAGTTAAACAAAGTATATGCACGAGAAAACAGTATTCCGTTACAGCAATTCACCCTAAGTGAAACGCTTCCTAAAGGGATGAAAGGGAAACGAACCGAGTCAACGAGCGGGAAGGAAAGAAACGCGAAAAGACAGCCAATGAAATGGCGAAAAGGAAATGCGAAAGTGGCTAGTAAGCTTGCACGATTCTTCCGGATCCACAGATCTGTTTTTCGAAATGCTGAATCACTCGAACGCGTGATAGGTAATTATGCAGCTCTGAAGAGATGACACTCTACCCATGAGTGGAAAAGTTAGAGCAGCGGCAGGCATGATGACGCGTGATCTTTATTGGCCGCGCGGCAGTAACAGAGGACGGAAGCGAGACTGAGTGCGACGAAGTGAGATGTAACGATAGAGAACGAAGTTGGCGGCACTATGAACTTTGATCTCTATCGTTACATCTCACGTCGTCGCACTTAGTCTCGCTTCCGTCCTTTGTTACTGCCACGCGGCCAATAACGATCACGCGTCGAAGACCGAGGCAGCCCGAACATTCCGAGTGGAAGAATCCTCCTGCCGCTCTGACTTTTCCGTTCGTGGGTAGGGTGCCATCTCGTCAGGGCTGCACTATACCTATGCTTGGCGTCCAACTGGAGGCAGAGAAAGGAAACGGAGAAGAGAAAAGAGTAGAAGGGAAAGGGGTACTCGCTCTTTATCTTTTATTCACGTTTCATTTCGTCCTGTTGTTGCCTAACCGCGGGGACGTCTTCCTGTCGGCTCATGTCGCCGCGATTATCCCGCGAAATTGTTTTGTCCGATTTATATCGTGGAATTCGCCGGAGCCGGCCCATACATTTTTCAAATTTCAATTACGTCGGTCACGCTCTCCCCCCTCGCGCACGCTCGCTTTTCAGATTTCGCGTGCGTGCGCTCAGGGCGAGCACGAGGCGTTCTGCGGGAGAAATCAATCGTTTTCCACGCTGCTGTCGCGATCTTACTAATTCAATCGCGTCGGGGAACGTTTAGGGCCTATGCACACGAGCGTCGTGACGGCGATGCAAGGCGATTACGTCGTGTTTGTTTCCAAAACAAATCACTTACGACAGAATTAAAATACACCGACACATTTCTTTTAAAGTTCACACTGAAATATTGCATATTAATGTAAAATTACGCAAAACGTTTGATAAATAATGTTTAACCTTGAGGAAATTTGATAAAGTTGATACTTCTTAAAAACAGTTTTTTCCCCTTATAACGTGTGGCGTTAAAAATATTAAATAAATACACATATGCACAACATAGATACTAAATTACAGTACATACGATATATAGAATATTAAAAAAGGTACACATACACATATATTTATCTATATATATATATATATATATATCACGTATATCTATCTATCTATCTATCTATCTATATATATATATATATATAGCGATCACGCAGCGATTGTTGTACGAGAGAATGCTTGGAAAATGACATACGATGGTTACCATAGCATTCTGTCAATGTGACGTTCGCGATCCTGCGCGATTGACAAAACGGTGTGGCAATGATCTCACGTCATTTGCCAAATCGTTGAACAAACGTCATAATCCTCGGTACGTGTTGCAGCGGATCGTGACGAGGATGACAGATACGTATATTCCTTCCCTTTTTAATCGTGTATGTCGCGTAGGACGAAATTTGCTCTGTGTATGCGATACATCGCGCTACTCGTGTGCATAGGCCCTTAACGTGCCCGTCCGCGAAGGAACACCGAGCCAATTGCCGTTCGACGGCGAACGAACGGGGTTGATCGATACGCAGAAAAAGGATGGAGCATCTCACGAGCAGACTCTTGCCTTCGATACGTTGCACTTGTAAGTTGCAATTTTTTGTGAGCAGCCCGGAAATAAGGATTGCTGTAGCTTCCGAATAATTGAGTTTGAATGTTTCGAATGAATAAACAAGTGGTTTTGGAAATGGACATTGTACTACTGAATGATTCGAATATTGGTTGAATAAGTGCGATGTTTTTATAGGCATTTTGCCGGAATCTCCGTACTTCGAGGAATTATTCCTTTGTTAAGTGTTTACGAGTGATATGTTGATTTGAACCTTTTGAGTGCCATGGATGCATACATGCGTAGACCTTAAGTTCCATCTGTTTGATCTCACACGTGCCGTAATGACAATTGTAAGTGTATGACATTAATAAACATGTTAATTAGTATTATTCAATTTTTCGAAACTGAGGAATTACAATTGCAACGTAATTACGCATTCTACGAATTAACATAGTTCATCGGTCTTCAGATGGCAAGCTATGCAAAAGAATATTTCGTCAAAACGGATCGTTTCGGCTGCGAGTATTCAGCACTCGAAGGGTTAAACAGGTTACGTAGAAACATATCTATTTGGTTAAAATTGGAATTTGGTTAAAATTGATCTTTTTGGCAGCGGTGAAAGTGAAATATAAAAAGGAAATATAGAACCGATATAAAACTGAAAAATAACAAATATAATGTCGGTTCCGAAGAACGGGAATCGAAACCAATATACTGAACAACAGTCACGACTTTCTTTCAGTTCTTCATAACTGTTTCAATCAGAACCAACAGATAACGATTTCAAACAGTTACCTTCAAAACGTTTTCAATCCCCGGTATTTAACAGTAAAACTACCGGGCAATTAAATAAATTATGCTCCAAGGGTGCATAATTCAGTTTGTGTATTGCTAAATCAATTTCTTTAATAATTTCTCAGAACAACGTTTGTTATCTTTTTAATAATCGCAAAAAAAAGAAATCAGGAATGGGCCATTTTGACCCGTCTGGTAGTTTTAATGTTAAATAGCCATATTTACAAGGTGAATATGCTTGCGACAGCTAAAGTGTTAAGAATGCGATCACAGTACACACGCGGACCGACTCACCGTACATCTGCTGAATCCCGTGCCTGTCGTCCTCCGGCAGCTTGTAATTAGAGCTCAATCCTTGGTACCACGGGTACATGAGCGCGCCGGGGACCGAGCTGTGCGCCAGGCCGAGCGAGTGGCCGAATTCATGCGCGGCCACCGCGAAGAGACTGGTCCCTGAAAGCGGAAGAAAAAAACATTCAAGAAAGAAAGGAAGGAAAAAAGAAGAAACGAAAATAGGTTCGAAAGATCCGTGGCGTCTTGGCGATCCTCACCGACCCGCCAGAAACCAGCGTCTCCTTCTTCCTTCGTTCATTCGTTCATTCATTTCGCCCGTCTCTAACCTCCCGCCTCGTTTTCATTCGCGTGATCCGGCTCTCCTTCCGGATTCTTTTTCCGAGAATGAAAAGGAGTTCCGCGGTAAATACGACCGACCAGACTGAAGATCTTCGGGTGAATGGGAAAAGAAAGGTCGCGAAAGGAAGGACGACCCCTTCAGAACAGCACGCGGCGCAGCTCGAGTCGCCACTTTACGGCACGTTCAATGGCCACGCGGCCCTCTTCTTTTTCTTTCCTTCAAATTATTAATGAACTTAACTGGGATACAGTGTCGGTGAATATGTACTACGTAATGGTAACAAGCTTCTTTTTGGTCGCTTCAATGGTATTCCCTTCCGAGGTTCTTTGCGGCCCTTAAAGTGTTCCTCGGGATTAGGGGCTTTAAGGTGTCGAGTGTCGGACTGGTTGGTGAGCGGTGATCGAATCTTTGGTTATGGTGGTTATCAGTGAGATAGGTAAATTAGTTGTTAAGAAGATTTCCATTAATTCGTATAGTGTAACAGAGGACGGAAATAGTCGTGGGACATAGACACTAAATAAATGTGAATGTTTATTGAGACTTGTTATAGTTTGAGATTGCATGAACACGTTCGTTACCAGCACCACATAATTGTGACGACTGTAATACTATATTTTACATAATGAAAATGAAAGTAACCCTATAGATATTGTTATTAGAAATTATAAAGTACGACATTATATTTAGGAACTCAATGACTCGTTTCTATTACATTTCTCTAATATTTTGTTTAGAAGATTTCTTGGATTGAAAAAAATATTATAATTGAGGAAACCGTCACCGAAATAAGCGCTGGTAGAGAACGTGTTAAGATCCCCAACACCTACAAGGAGATACAATGCATTATCATAGATCATTAAGTATAGTGTAATCGCAGGAACCCAAATATGTACAACGTTGTTTCGGACCTGTATGGGATTTCTTGTCTCTATCGGTACACAATCCATTAGCAAAATGTCGACTCGACGTCGATACTTCGTAACGAGAAAACTTGCTTCCTCCTAAGACTCTCGACAGATTAAATTAGTTGTAAACTTTCTTGGACCTAACCGAATCGAAAATAGATTCGGCTAGCCTAACATTACAAGTATCTCTTCAAGAGGAATTGCCGAAATTGAGATCCTACATTTTCTAAATTTCGAAACTTTACATTTGAACACTTGTAAGCCGCAATAAAAATACAAATAAAATGAGATCAACTGTATTACTGGATGCTTAATAAAATTACGAAATTCGTGAAATTACCGAGTTAAAATTCGTCGATTCAACGTATTTGTATATTACAGATTCTCATTATTTTGCCATTTTTTCAGATCGCTGTTTTTGACTTCATTCATTTTATACCGCAGTTTGAAGGCATTTAAATTGTTGCATTGTTATCGATCAGTGTATGAATGTTTATTAACGTTTGCGTGTTGCGATGAAGGTTTCATTGAAAACATGCGTATCTCTGGTTTTGGCAAACTTTCGGAATCAAGTGTTCTATATTAGGTGCGTTGTCCTATGCATTGTTTCCGCGCGACATCAGGATCATTATCATTAGACAGAAATCACAGAGGCGGCGTTCGCACGTGGGCGAAACCTATCCATCGACGCGTCGTCATCAACGCGGGATCTTTCGGATGAAGTTTCCTCGTTACGAACTTTCGTCGGCGCGATACTTCGGAATATCGACGTTAACAGCAGCCGGCAGCAATATACCGGGGAAGTCAAGTGCTCTTAATCAGAAGCCCGTCCCTGTCCGCCCCGGCCCGGCCAGGCCGCTCGAGGACGAGCGTGAAAATAAGTACAACGAATTAGGGGTTGTCCTCGAATGGCACTTCAGATTGCCGCGATTCGATATCCGGACGGGTTCTTTGCAAATTTGCAAGACGCTCTGCGTTACTCTTGCGCGACGAGGAGTCTTTTCCGTCTCGCGATTAACCCTTCGCGGACATCATCAGTGCAGGGTACATTGATACTATTCCCAGTGTATCTACCTATTTTTTTTCTTATGATTTTACTACCAGTCATATTGTTTTCTGGAGTGAAAGATGCTTAAAAAAGGATAAGGAATATAAATTGTTAATTACAAAATTGAAAGAAACTTTGATTATCAATTATAATTTTAAATTATCTAAATTGTCAAGCAGAAAATTATAAAAAGTGTAAGATATCAATTATAATTCTAAGTTATCTAAATTGTCAATTACAATTCCAAATTATCTAAATCGTCAATTATAAAATTTTAAAGAATCTGAATTATCAATTACGATTGCAAATTATCGAAATTGTCAAGCAGAAAATTGTATAGAATTTAAGTTATCAATTATAATTCTAAATTATCGAAATTGACATTTATGAAATTATAAGAGATCTGATTTGCAGATTACAATTTTGAATTAAAGGATACATAAGAGAATACATGTTTGATCATGAAAGATGGATATTAATTGCACACAGAGTAGCAACTAGGAGTAGGATTAATTAAATCGAAACAAAATTCAAAACGGATTCGCCGGTGAGACGTTCGCGCGAGACATTTGATATTGCACGTTAGAGTTCAAGATGGATCACCCCGGTGTCAACGGAACCGGAAAATGCTAATTTTCCAATGGATTTGCAAATTGTGGTATTCCAGTTTCTCATCGTTTGCAAACGTCCGATGGGACGTGATATTAGCAATTCATAGCTGACATCCATGCAGCGAAACATAATACTTTTACACACGCGGCGTCTCTGAATTTCTGCTCTTCTAAAAAGCATTTAAGAAGAGATGGACGATAAATATTAAAAGAAAGGACATTTAGTACCAATAATTTATCAATGGAATGATTCGCAATAAATATGGAAACAAAAATATATATCCTACACTAATGATTAATAAATAAATCGATCAACACTAGGTATTTAAAAAAAGGATATATGTATTTAACCCCTTGAGCAACGATTTATCTTTCAACTGTGATCGATACAATTACTTTGTCAATAATAATGTATTGAAGAAAGAGGACAAAAAAGGCTTCAGGGGTCATGATTTAAGATTTTCAAAAAATTATTTATTGCTCCAGATACTTTTTTATTACGACTTAAAGAAAAGTGTCCCATTTTACTCTACTTTCCCCCGTTGATACAATTACAAGAGATGAGGATGAGTCATCGAATCTTAAGAAACGTATTGTTCTAATTCTCACAAAAAAGTAGAAATAAGTAATTCTAATTCCTCGGTAGCTTTAGTGTTAATACCTTCACATGTTAGTGTGTGGCAAGGGGTTAATATCAATGAACTTTGAACATAGTGACATAAAAAATATCAAAGAAAATTACACGTGAAACGTTAATTACACTTTAAACGCACATTTAACCGCGTAATATGCACTAATTATATAGTATATTCCACCGAGCGAGTAAAAGCTTTTAGAAGATTAACAAAATCGTCACTTCGGTTAGCCACGCGGATCGTTTGAATTAGCAATTTGAATATGCGAGCAATGACTATTAATTGATGCGGACGCTGGCGATCACGAGGTACAATTATGCTTATGCTAATGGGAAACTATGCAACGCCGGCGGACAGTGAAAGCCTAGCTTGTAATTATTAACAAACCCAATTGGAATTGTTCTGAAATTGTAGCGAAACTTACTAAACTTCTATTAATAATTCTTGCTATGCATAATAATGAACGTAACATAATAAGTCACTGACTTTTAATTAACAGACCACGTATTCTCGGACGAGTTCGTATTTTGAACGCTAGAACTATCAGACGGGACGAAATGATCCACCTTGGATTTCTCCTTTCGCAATTTTTAAAGACACACTTTTCTGAGATGTTTTTTTCGTAAATTGGTTCGGTAATATGCATGCTAAAATATAAATCAATCGTAATCTTAATAAATGTTAAAGTCGGATTTTGAATGACGAAAGTTACTAAAACATTTTATCGTCAATATGAAGTGTTTCAATTGGGAAGTAACAAGAATATGTTTCATTAATATTTATTTATATTCCTTGCTATAGAATTTTTATAAAATTTGTGTACTTATTATTTCTCTAATTTTTATGTGAAGACAGTCTCTTTCTTTTATCATAATTTCTTACAGAAATATAGTAAAATTTTGTTTGGTTTGATTCAGTTTCAGCAATTTTACATAAATAGTTATATTGGCACGAAAAATGCATTGTTTAATCACTGTACTGCGAATTTTTATACACTTGTAACTCATAAAAGTCCTCAGAGAACGAATATGCATCAAACTCTCGAACCTTAATTTTTAGTATAATACTTTAGATGAATCTACCAATTGTGGGCATAAAATTCTACTTTATCCGGGTATTAAAATTTTGGAATCATAAAAGTTGAGTTTCGCGTAAAATTTCGTATACAATTGTCTGTTAATCTCAGTGTATAACAAAATTCGATTTTCCCTTGCAAAATACAAATTCTGTGTATCTGCCGATGGAGAAAAATGGTTCCAAGACTGTTATTCAACGCGAGTGAATTTCTAAGATGTTGAATAGTATTATTAGCGTTAACGCTAAACGTACCACTATCGATCAAATGATCGATTAATAATTTTGTATAGAGTGATACATTCGATAACAGTCTACTACGTGTAATACAACAAGACTATCGATGTGTATAAAGCGGCATCGAGAATTTCTAAACAAAAACAAATCGACGTGCGTGCTACGTTTTTTCAGCGCAGGAGGTTAACTTTATATCAATTCTTATATTTCCTTCTGTTAATATTTCCATTAGCAAAAATGTATCGTTTAATTATAAGAATTGATGTAAAGTTAACCTAAAAATAAAAGTAAACAATTTCCTTCTGTTCATGTTTCCATTAGCAAAAATGTATCGTTTAATTTGTTTACTTTAATTTTATTATCAGTTATTTGACCGGTTACGGTAGGAATAGGTTATTATAAAGTGTCGGTACATTTAGTATGCATCATTAGGTCACGAGTACAGGGATTCAGGATGAATTCGGGTATCAAGGGTTGGGCATAGATATCACAGATTTAACGCCGAGGATATCAGGGTTCGTGTTAAACTCTGCCTGCCAATTGGATCTTAAGATCTTGATCCTCGAGTTTGAATTAAGTCTCGCAGGTCTTGTCGGACTTGCGTCAGATCGTAGATTCTCGGTAAATGAGCTAATATCTAAACTACCTTGCGGTCTGATTGTCAAAGGAAATCTCATATTCGGAATCTATTGCTCGTTAATGATGTAATGTGTTAACACTAAAGCTGTTAGGCAGGTCAAGATGACCTATTCCTGATTTCTTCTTTTACCCTCATTGAGAAGATACAAGCATTTCTCAGAGAAATGACTAAAAAAACTGATTTGGTAATGTACGAACTAAAATACTCTTATAATATAATACTATTATAATATCTCCAGCAGAATAAAAGGAAGTCAATTTGACTGCTTGGTAGTTCTAGTGTTAAACGTAACACTTTGCCATACAATTTTCTTCGCAACTGTCGCTGAGGCAACGCAATATTCTTTTAGGACATTTCTTAATATTTTAAAGGAAAAGCGTTTTGGAGATATCGAAGAGAAAATGTTTGAAGCTGGAATCTGTAATCACTAAAATGAAAATACAGTTTAAAAATATTTTAATTTTTAAATATTTTTCTATTACTCTTTGACACATGAATTAGTCAATTTTATATGTTTTTATATTTATATTTTAACTGTCTTTATGTAATATTACTGTCTTATATATGGTATTATTTTTTGTAGACTCTTAAAATAACGTCAACGCGATATAAAGAGTTCCAATAATCGAAATACTTTTCTCAAAATTTATTCTTCCTACTGAAAGTTTCCTTCCATTCGACGTAATACAATTATGAGCGAAGCTGCAACAACATTGCGAGAATTCCGAGCGATTCGCGTCGTAACGACAATGTTACAATAACATGACGGAACGAAGGAACATTTTCATCGTAGTTCCCTCGATTTGTTCTCGGTCATGGGGTAACCGAATTGGAGGATCGCCAAGGAGCAGGAGGAGACTCAATATCGGCCACGCGAAAATTCCTCAGCCTTGGAATCTTTTCTTCCATCCCCAAATCGCTTGTAAACTTTTCGTGCTCCACGGTTTCTTCACGAAATCTCAGGTAATTTGAGTTTCAACATATAAAGCTGTCTACCAGTGAAACGGAAACTAACTTAACGTTACAATGACCGAAGACGTATTAATATGTTCTTCGTTAAACCAGCTTTATGAAACGCGTCAGTCCGATGCATTTTGAATTTTGTAAATATTATTTTCTAAATGTTTACAACACTGCGTTACATCTGAATATAATTTAAATGTCATACAGAAAGAATGAAGAGTAAATTAACGTAAATGCTATAGAGAGGTTAATTAACCATTTATAAAATGTTAAAGTAAGTGAAAGTGAGGATCCTTGAAACAGAGGATGCGTGAATAAAAAAAACTCGGATTATTATTAATGGAAAGATTTTGAATAAATTATTCTATATAATAATTATTTTACGTATAGATAATTGTGTGAAGTATTAAAAAAAATTGTCTCTTTCGTACACTGTAGTAGTTACAATTACTTTTTCAAGCCTTTTAAAATATTACTAACAGTAAGTGTCCTCAGAGTTTCAAACAGAAGTGGCTGTAAGAAGAAAATGTAATTACCTTTTACTATTTTTCTTGGGTTATATAATGTATTGGCAACATATATTCTTCAATAAAACATAACCTAGAGTACAGAAAATTTGTTTCTGTATCCACACAAAATTTCGAGATTTTATTATGCATTAGTAAAACGTATTTATCATTCACTATTATTTATAAATGAAAACAATTATTGATATTTATTAACACGGTGTTTCAATATTGATGCCTATACAGAGGTTTTTTACAGTTTCGATATTCTGCGACTATTAAAATATTAAGGAAACCAAGAAGAATATTTCCATTGAATATTTCAAAGGTTTCCTGTCGCCACACAAAAATTTAATTGCTGACGTCCGTTCGGCAATTTCGTCACGAATCATACTCCTCTTTTTTCAATGAACTTTTTCTCATTCAGTTCGAATCGCCGTGACGCAGTGGAATTTCTCGGAAATTTTTACTACCCGCTAACAGCGCACGGACATTTTGTAGCTTTTGACGATCACTTTCATGGCTGAGTGGAAAAATGGTCTATTAATTGAAAGTACCGTAACTGCGAGACATAAAGTGCAAAATTGGTTACGGAAAAGGGAAATTGTATTTCAGTTCACGCGGAGGATTAAAGAAATAAGCTCAATAAAGGAAAAAAAATATTTTTTTTCCCGAAAAAATTGGTGGAACGTTACAGAAGAAAGTTTAATAAAAGGAAAGAGATCTTTTACAGAGGAAAACAGACAGAAAGTTGTGGGAATAAGCTCTATAACGCGAACACGAATGTTTTTCTTAGAGCGAAGAAGGTGAAAGTATATTGTATATTTTACAAAGAGAAATAGATAGAAAGGGGAAGAAATAATTTTAATAAAAACAGAATATTTTTTTACAAAGAATGATAGATTCTTCAAATATTTCAACAGAAAATAATTTTTAATATGGTACGTAATAAATTTTTAACAGCTTCGAGCAATTTTGCTCACCTTTATAGATGGGTTAGCAATAAAACCGCGTGGTAAGGGCGATGTAAAATCTTTAATAAAGATTTTAGGAATCTGTTGGATGAATTCCAGGCGGTTACTATTGGTTCTTACTATTCTGCTCGAGAAACACGTTTTTATTTCGCAAGAGCTTACTGCCGGATATGCACGTGGTAATCGCCGGAAGTAAAGGGGAAAATTGTGTTTCAGCGATAGAGAAAATAAAAAAGATTATCAACAAGGAAACTCGTTAAAAAACGGGAAGACAAACTATAAAGTGTAAAACCGTACATAACTGTGTACCTCCATCGTGAAACTTAAAAATACTGACTTCAAAATTATGAGATGAAATTATGATTAAACGAAAGTGATACTAAACTCGAAATTTATGTTTAATAAATATTTCTGCTGTTTCCATTAAACTTTGCAGTCTATACGACTTTTCGTATTCGATTGTTTATTAATTCGTCAATTTTTAAGATGTTCAACGAGAACGTATATTTAATAAATCTTATAAACAACGTTTAATAAACATTATATTATACGGTTAGGTTTTGATTAGGCCTTGGTTAGGTCTTATAAATAACATGTAATAAATGTTATATTTAAGCGATAAATAATGGTTAATAAATATTATATTATACAATAAACAATATTTAATAGATATTGTAACAAATGCTATAAATATTTGGGCAATACTTGCTACAATATTCTGTCACTAACTGATCTATCTTTTCGTGTTCGATGAGCCATTTTCTGGCCATTTCATCCCTTGCATCTCCACTCCAACCCCATCCCCATCCCCACCCCTACTCCTACCCCTATCGCCGAAAGAGGACTTCGGGAAAGGAAAATGCGGTTTATCGAATTCTTCCTTACCTTCTTCGTTGCTGTCGTCTTCCAGCAGCCATATTTCTTCCTCATCGAAATGAACGTCACCACCGCGATCTTTGCCGGGGAAGAAAGCGTGCGCCAGGATCTGGCCCCTGCCATCGAAAGGATATCCATCACCGTGATAACCGCTGAAACAGACCAGAATTGAAATGAGTGGCCCAATTAAAAGTTCAACCGTCGAACATTTCAATTTTACTCTCTAACTTGTTGTTTACGTGAACCCTTTGTACTTTATAGGCTCCATTGCGGCGCCATTTATAGTATTGGACAGTTTAATAAACAATCTTGAAAAGAACTAGTTTAAGACTATTACATTTGCTACATATGCAAATTACGTCGTAAGAGAATGAAAAATGTATGAAATTTTCTTATATAATATTTTTTAATTTTCATTAAAGGTGTTGTAAAAGTGGCTTGGAGTTGCTGGTAGGTTAGGAAATCTGTCGGAGCGCTAAGTGTTAAAATCGATTGCCTGTCGTTCTGTCAACCCTTTGCACCCGAGAAGCTATTCTCAGTCGTTATTCGATTCAACATGGAAAAATGATAAAATTTAAAATCGAATATTAAATTTCGTATATGACATCAATATACGAATTATTCAAATAAAATAGTTCTGTCACTTGATGTATGCAAAATTCTTCTTTATTTTCGTTATGAAAACCATCCTCGATATTTCATCAGAAAGTAATAAATTATTATGATGCGAATTATTGTCGAGTGCAAAAGGTTAATGTTTTCTGATCGCGCATTCATTTGATTCTTTTAGAATCGTTCCACTGGGAAATATCACTATATGTATTTTGTTCTTAACATCTTTCTTGTTTGTCTCTTTCAATTATTACCGGACCTTTGATACGCGATTAAATGAAGAAAAATCGAAGAAAAATGAACAATATGAATTCTCATCACAGGTTTACTTTATTTTCAGGATACTTTTCATTCCATTACCCGGTTATCATATTTCAGAAATCCTATTTTAAAATCTATTTTAAATTCTATTACTTCTGTTCCATTTAAAATTCCTTTGTTCCCATTGTATTTGCAGTTCTATTATTTCTATTGTATGCTAAATCGTAATTTATTTTATCTTCTGGTTCACCTTTAAAAAAGAAAGTTGCTTTTTACTCGTAAAAGGAAGAAGAAAGAGGAAGGAACAAGAGAAGTGTTCAGAGCTAGGAAACACGTAACCCGAGATGATGCCAGGCACGTTACGGAACTATTCACGGCCGCCGAATAACTCTCACAAACGGCAGATATTAAATAGACCTTCCTTTTAATCGTACTCTCATTTCCAGCTGCGTCGTCGCGATAAATTTCCCCGGCAACAAGGTACTTCGTAAATCGAGCTATTGATTCCTTCTTTGTCTGGCCTTGTTCGTTGTTCTCGCTCTCATTGTGTTTGGCCGTTCGCGTGGATTTCAACCGTTCAGTTTCGCGGGCTGGTCAACATTTTTCTTAGTCGTCGGTACCTTCGGGAAGTTTATGAATTCGCTTAAATCTGGTACCGAACAATCGCAAAGTAAATCATAAACATTCCTTCCTCGAAGAAACATTTATATAGAAATTTATATAAAAACGAATAATTTGTAAAGGACATAATTAAAATATATTCAAATATAATAGAGGATAGCGTGTTTTATGATAATTTGAACATGAATCTTAATTGGACAGAGGACTGATTAAAGTACATTTAAATTCATAAAGAAGAATAATTTATAGACAACATGATTAAAATATATTCAAGTATAATAGAGAATAATATATTTTACAGTAATTTAATAATTTAATTAATTGATTACGCGGGAGACCAATAAAGACTTATTAAAATATGCCTATTTAAATTTAGAAAAAGCTGATGTATATTATGGCACATTAGTTGCAGATTTTTATTCATAAGAATTCATTTCAGATGTATATTCAAATTTAACAAAAATATAGTAGATATTTTCCTGTAACATATTAATTTACAAGAACTCAATCAGAGCATATTTCAATCTAACAGAAAGTAATTCATTTCGTATTAATTTGAACAAATAATTCGATTGATACGATTAATCGAAGTACCTTCTTTACTAGGAAATAATAAGCCCCACAGTATTTACACTAATTTCCGAACTCCACACCTTTTCCTCCAGTATATACTCCCTTCTAATTACTCTGATAAAAGATCTACGGTCTCCCAACCGTTTGCTTGGACTCTACTCTCTATCCTTGCATCCTGCTCAAGTATTAGGTTGGCTAACAAATCTCTTGGCATTTCTAAATGAAGTTTAATGAAAAATTTCACTTCGTTCAGTTACTAGTAAGCTTAATTAAATTATGCGTATTTTATTTGGTAGTTTTTTTTATTGTCCATTAGTTTACTTATTTGTAATATTTATTTATAGATTATAATATAAATGCTATATTGAAGAATAAAATGACAACCAACCTCGGTTGGCTAACCTAACCATTAAGTGGCTCAGAATAATGATCTAATTCGCAATTCTGAGTTCTCGAGATACCCATGATTGAATTAAATACTATATTAACAATTAATAATGGTTAATATTATTACTAGCATTGCAAGAATAAATGAGTAGTTCAGAATAATAGTAGTCTAACCACTATTTTTCAGTTTCCGAGAAAAACAGCCTTTACGAAATTGCTACTGTTCTTCGATTAATTATTAATAATTAATACTAACCAATACTGTCAATAACACTACAGATTGAATCAATAGGTATTTTATGAAATCCTCTCGAATTAAGCTAAAATTACTAATATTACAATATTACTAATACCATTAATGATTATTCATCATTAATACCCATAATTCTAATATGAATATTTAATTAGTCCAACGGCATTTCACAAAAGCTTTTGTTCCCAGAGGACTAAAAAATAGTAAATAGACCAGTATTATTCTCAATCACTCATTTACGTTACCTCCCAGCGGGGTAAATAAATGAAACTCACCGATGGAAGTACACCAGGATGTCCGCTCGGTCGCTATTAACTTCCTGGAAGGTGAGCTTCGAGTTCCGCGCCCAGAGGCCGAGGGCTTTGCTCAGCTCGAGCCGGACGCCGCCGGTGTCGAGACCACTTGGCTGTTCGGTTCTCAGGCTGCGACAAAAAGAAGGGGAGATCATTAGGGACGTACCCACCGAAAATCGATTCAACGCCGCTAGCTGACGCGTTTCGTTCGCTTATCGGCCCTCCCACACCCACCGTCGCTCACACCCCTACCAGAGTAATACTCCGGCACTAGATAACTAGGGATGGGATCAAGTTCGATGCGAGCCGGTCATCGTCTAAATCGACTAACTTCGCAATGCAAAAAGTGCAGAAACGTAATACTGAGACGGCATATACTGATTTTTTCAATTTTCCTTCAACCCTTTAACGTTTTGTTGTGCGAATAATAATATAATGGTGATATTATGAAGTAGTTATAGTAGTTAATTCATATTACACTGTGTAATTCTATCACCTTTGACGAGTGTTTGACGAGTACACTCGTCATGAGAAAATGACCAATTCTTACGTATCGTCGCGTACACTCGGCACGTGAAAAAAATTAACTACCTTTTGTTGTAAATATTGAAATTTTTATAACGGTGGAATTCCATTTTAAAATTCTTTATTTGCACGTGTAATTGGGAGGAAGCGATAACGAGTATACTTGTCAAACACTGTTAAACAGCTAGCCAGTTACTGAGCTTGATGAATATACGTCATTTTTAAATCCAAAATTACACTAGTTTTTTTCAACAATAAATTACTCATTTTTTCGAATAAGCGTGTAACCTTTCTTCGTTTTGGTTTAGGTATAGTTGATAGGTTACATTGAATATCAAACGAGCATTATAGTAAGTATTACTACAAGTAATAATCCAATGAACATGTCAAACGTATAAAGCAAAATATTCTTGACGTAATCTCTATTACTATTACAATTTTTACGTAATCAAAAGAATTTCTGTTATTTCGTAGAATTGAATTCAACATAATAAGGAACTTTATTGTACATATAAAAAGTTAAGAGTAAAGCGTTTTAACCTTTTCGGTGCGGAGTAGTTCAACCCAGAAGTGGTCCGTATAGCCGGAGCAGAAGTAGAAGTAACGCAGCAATGTGCACAGCCACTATTTTGTACATAGCGGTCGAGCAAGACAAAAGTACTCATTCAAATGCATTTTCTTTAAAGTAGTTATCATTCATTTATAAAAATCAACATAAATGGTAATACTGCAGAATTCACGCTAGTACTTAAGGTGCTAAAATATTTGTGCTAAGATCGAAGGTATTAGTTTTTTCAAGCATCTGTAAGATTAAAGGTTCCAATTATGATTTTTTGAAATATTTGTCAAATTGAAACTATCAATTTCTATTCAAATAATTTCTATTAAAATATTCTATCAATTTCCATTTTCTGGAATATTTGTTAAATCGAAATTATTGATTTCTATTTTCTAAAATATTTGTACAATTAAAACGACCGACTTCGGAAACCATTTTCGGAAATATTTATAAAAATGAAACCAGTAATTTTCATTTTCTAAAATATTTGTAAAGTTGCAAGCAGCAATCAAACTTTTATTTTTTGGAATATTCGCGAAGGGTTTGAATCCGACGACGGAAGGTTCGAATCAACTTGTGAGGCATTCCGTCCCATCCCTACCGATAACCACGAGAGCAAACCCGGAGAAAATGTTTCCGGCGGGAGACGCGCGCTCAACGGAAGACGATTCAATCGCTGGATAAGGGGTAAGGTCTTTGGGAAATTAGGTAAATTATTCCCCCTTCCATCGACCGCCGGGAAAGTAATAAGAGAAACTTTGTTGCGCGGCGAACAACCGGAAATTCCGTGGAATTACTCGGAATTACGTCTACCGCGGGGTAAATATTAGGGAAAAGAAGCGATGTGTTTTCTGGTAGCGCTTCACGAGAGAAAGGTCGACGTTTTCGGGAAAAGTTTCGGGAAATTTCGGATATTTCTCGACGATTAGATGGACCAATTTCGTTTCATTATTACTCGCTAGGAAAAATTCATTGCGAAAAATGAGGCAATTTTTAGTGTAAAGATAAAATGTGTAATCTCAAAGATCAAAAGTTCAAATTTATATTCGTTTCAAGCTAAGGACCCAAAAAGAGTAACCCGCAATCAAGATCGTCGAGATTACAACAAATGAACAATAACGGTGAAAACGTTTAACGTTTTTAAAACTAGTCTGTCTTTCTACTGCTACTGACTTTTAATCGAGTTCGACGAATCATTACAGACATTTGCATCACAAGGATACATGAAAAAGATGCTAGTAACCAGAAAAATTGAACGTATATATGCGCTAATGATGCAAAGGGGTTAACTTTTACAGTAAACGTAGACATATCTACTAGATTATTAACGATAAAATGGCGTTATCAAGCACTGTTGTGAAAGAAATCATGGGATAAGGGGTTAAGGGTTAATCGTCCGCGGGGTTGTCCCGTGACGCGTTCCCCGGAAGTCCCCTCGTCGGGGACAGGATTTTTCCGACGAGTCCATGCCAACGGACAAAGCGAAAGCAAACACGCCGGCTGGGTCGGGCTCGTTTCATCCGGGACCGAATGGAACGGATATTTGCGAGAGGAGCGCGACGACCCACTAAAAAGCTCGCTAGTTGGAAATTACATTTTTTAGCAGGCACGGCGCGCACGCGGCGCCCACTGTTTTCCCGCGACTAATGCGATTTACGGCGGGAAACATATTTTACGCGCGAGCACGGGTATCCTTGGCCGGAGCGCGTTTCGATGAAAAAGGAAAAAAGTCGTCGTTGACCGGCCAGATATTGTGCTTTACGGGCTTTTACGTTTCCTCGAGGAATTATGGGGGTAATATATCGCCATCCGCGTTATCCGAAAGTGTTTGTAACGGAAACGGTAATCGTTATTTACACGCTCGCCTTGGAAATAATGTAATTGGTTCCCCGAGCGTTGCCGACCCGGAAAATTTGCGAAGCTTGTTTCCTTTGTTATTCTGGGACGGTTCTGAGTTGCAGTGATTAAGTTCGCGACGTGAAAGTCGGAGCGGTTGATAAAATTAGAAACTGCTGAAAATAGAGCGTCGATTAACCGCTTTCGCACTGAAATTTCAGATCATTAGGGAAATGGTGTTGATCGCTGCAGCTTGGTTTCCGTTTCTCAGTTTCAAATCTCTAGGGGTTAATTAAAATAAATCTGATCTATATTAATATCTCATGTTCTTGTAAGTATTCTTGTTAATTGAAAAGGACATTAAATCCGTGTCGAAATTTATTAAAATTCTCATGACATTCTGCAGGCAAATTCGAGAAATGCAACACATGCGCAAATCGAAAACTCGAGCTTTTTTTAACATTGATTATTAACCGTACAATGTGGTATCCATATCCAAAACGACAGTTAAACAACTGAGAACGTTATGTGACACTTTATCTACCGCTTCTGGCCTGGGCAACCAGTCACAACTACCAATACGGTCTTCGTCATCGCATAGAAGTACACGTTTTCACTTGTAAAGCTTTGTAACTTTCAAATCAAAGTATAAAGGAATCTCATAACGTGTCATTTCTTTTGTTTTAAATCAGTGTAATGTGAACAGGTTTTATCGATTGTTAAACTTTCGAAATCGAAAAGCTAATTAATAGGCTTGCTCCATCGAGAGCATTAGTAAAAAAACATATTGTCGGCGAAGGGTTAATATTCTTGCTTATCTTTACTACGAAAGGACGAGTGCTACGCAGTTAACGTGTTAGCGCAATATATTTTTCGCTACGGCATTGATCACTCACGGTTTGTTGTTCGAATGTGAAGTTACAGAGAACGAAATACGTAAATAATTGGCAATTAAAACAGATGAAGGTCAGTTCATCGAAGCCTAATTAAGGGGAGCCAGCCAAAGGGGAGGGAGAGAATGAAAGCCCACTGGATAAAAAAGAAGAGAATAGAAAAAGGAACTATGTGGTAGAGGGGAAGCCGAAAGAGCTGACATTCGTCGTGGCAAACAGGCGTTACTCGTTGTTGCATCCTGTGAACGACGCGAATGGCGTGAACAGCGGCTACGTGGATTTCGAAAGATCGTTCCGTGTACCAGGGGACCAAGTTGAAAGGTAAAAAGCTGACGGGGAACGCCGCGGGCGTTCGGATGCATGGTGCACAACTTGTGTGCAGTTTGACGACACACTGGTAGACAACAGGACAGTGTGAAAGTCTCCCGTGTGCTCCGATAGAAAAATCTCGATCAAAACGGTGCTTTGAGATGCTCTTCGGCTCTCTTCATGCCAGGTTGCAAATTTAGGGTTTCATTCACTGGTTGAGGAGGTACTGTTTGCCGAGATATTTTCGTTTGACGGCGTATGCGGTAGAAAAATAAACAGTACGAATTTATAGTTTTACATTGCATAATAGTTTGATACAATTCTGGACTATGGTATCTAAGCATCAGGGGAAAAAATGACTATCCTTCAGCGTAGAAGATTGCTAGGATCTCATGTTAGAATTGATGAAGTCCCAGGATTGTAATCTCATCAAGATTACCGTAAGACTACCGTAACAATTGGAGTCCGTTACTGTCGTCGATGCTATAGTAATAAAGGCAGTGCACTGAAAACGACAGAAATATATTGAAAACATTTTCTATAATAATAAATAAATAGTAGCGAGAAACTGTGAACTACTTCACTGCTCAGTTACCACAATATCTAGAATATTTATTCGAATGTGTACCAATTTCTTTTATTTCCTTTTTGGTGAGGTTAATCACAAATTTCAGTGGTCCATATCTTGGTTACGAGCAGCACAGTGTACTGTAAAGGAAGAATACATTTCTGAGATCACTCTACGGCAAGGTGTCATAAAATTTTCACAAGATTCCGAGGGAGGAGCGTGAACGTCACGGCTGCATTCGGAATTCACAGTTTTGAAATAAACGAGATATATGCGTATGCGTATATCCTACGAGCCTGGTGTCTATTCGACGATGCAACGTAAAGAGGAAATGTGCAGCTAACGGTGGATACGTTAGAACCTCTGATACGTAACGTCGCTAGTTTATGAACACTTTTCCTACGTGTAATGGCCCATTCGAAATCATTACGCTGGTTCA